GCATAATAAGCGAATAATAAGTTTTGCAGCCGCTTTCAACACGTTTGCATAATAATTGGTAATTTTGGTAACGTAAATATTGGTTTATATGAATGGTGCCCTAATCAGTAAGGTATTACGTCGTGGTCTAGGAGTAGCAATGTTCAGTTTGAGATGATAGCGATGCTTAACACATCCAACGGAGCGGCTTGCCTTACGGAGTGTTCCTGTCGGAAAAACTGTTGAGCTGGTAATTCCTTCGAGCACGACAAAAAAGGCATTAAAAAGAGCATGTTGACTAGCAGATGTCACAGTGTTGGTGGAGCAACTGAAATAAATATCGGTGCTCACCAGAGTAGCCAGTGCGGTCATGCATTTTATGTGATTACGTCCAGCGAGCGTTTACTTGCTGAGGATTTGCACTGCTTTGCATTTTGGTCTGTGCAAAAATAATTGAAATGCTGTCTGGTTTTTAAGTTGCGAAATTTCCCGCTAAAAATTTCACGCACCGGTACGTGAGAACCGAATTTTAAACCTCAAAGGGTGAATGTCCTTCAAAATTTCGACCTCCTAATTTTCTGGCTTTCAACTAATTTTTGCGACAAAACTTTCACACGGCATACGTGAGAAACGGCATACTTGGGACTGAATTTGAAATATTTAAATTGTGCATAGGCTGGGGATGTCTCCTTAAAAATTCCAGTCCTCCAGCTGTCATGGTTCCCGAGTTAGCGATTTTACGCTCGTAGGCGGGTCCTGGACGTGCGTGAGTATTGTTGCTGCGTGACTGCACTTGGCCATGGAACCCACTGACAAAATTTTGGCGCCAGAACTTGCTTGGTTGCCGAGTTGGAATACCCGGACAGACGCACACACACATACCGAGGTCGTCACAATATACGTTTTTGCATTTGCATTTATGCAAAAACGCATAACATGGGAGCTTTTCATACTTCGTTGTATGCAGCATTTAAAAGTTAGGGGATTTATAAGGTGCGGCTGATTGGATATACTACTTTAGTTTCGCTTCCAGCATTCTCTCAACAGCTTTCTAATATACCTGGAGCATACTTCAATGAATGTGAATATGAGACTTGAAAAGCAGAATACTGAAGTTTCTGTTTTTGCTTTTTTTATCCAATTGCTGTTTCCAGTTGCCAGTCCCTTTCAGGTTACTGAAGGGTTTTGGATGGATCAGGACTCGCCATTACTTTTTCACGTTGGCTGGGCCAGTAAAAATCGTTACGGATTATTCGCCAGTGAGGAGTATGAGCGGCATGCAAAGGAAGTTGCAAAAGCATTAGAAAAAGTACGATTTTTTGATTTTTCTGCTAAGCCAAATATTAACGCTGGCGTGTTTTTGAACGGCCAGTGCGCATATCTCGGTAAAATTGGAGTTTTACATCGGCACTGCTGCAAATCCAGGTAATCTTCCAGTGGCACAGTGACCAGTTTCGCCATAGCAAGCTAAAAGTAGTGCTCCGTGCCGTGCCAGGAGGGAGAAATTACTTACAATTTTTCGAGCAGTTTCTATACTGATATGTCTAGAGCTTAGTCTGCATTATCATTTAAATCGCTAGAGATGGTTTTGGCAATAGGCTTGACTTTGGTTTGACTTTCGGTGGCTGCTTGTGGTAATCGATCGACGCATCTGTTGCAAACGCCTGCGAAAACCGACGGAAACTGGAAAATATGCGTTGTTTGTGGTAACAAGGGTAGGCATTGTGTTGCTGACGTATGTGAGTGCCGTACATATAGATTCATAAATTCGACTTGGTAAGTGTGGCAGGGTAGTGATCGCCACGTTAAACTGTGGAAATAAGGAGTTCACTTTCGTTAAAGTTCATATATTTTGCGGGGAAGTCTTATTGATTACACTATCTAAATCCGCAAACGAATGAATTTTGAGTTGATTTTTGGTGCACTGTTTTACCATACTCTGAGTTCTTTTATCATAACATACGTTTGCTCCACCAATT